CGGTGGCCGCTGCTCCCCGGGGCCGGGCGGCACGGGAGGCCTGCCTGGGGCAGGGGGAAGGGCCCCCTGTCCCCCGGGGAAGGCCCGGGCTGCCGGCAGGAGGTGAGCCGGATAAGGGCGGTCATGCGCCCACCTGGAGGCATTTCCCGCGTGGTGTAGGCAGAGGATAAAGGCGGTTTCTCCAAAGCGAGGGGTGAAAACTTACCGAAAGCATCTAACGTTGCTGATTTTTTGTTTATTTGTTTGTTTTCCAGAAAGCATCGTTATTCAGCAATGTTGGGATTATCGCAGAGCGTCCGTAGCGGATCCAGCTATTCCGGATAATACCATGTTTGTTTTCATCACAGAATTTACGAAATCCAAAGCCGACGGTGTACTCGTCTGTGGTCATTTTGCTTTGCAAAACGAGTGCTGAAAATGAATTCACACACTGTTCTGTGGGCCCCTTTGTGTTTTTCTAGCTACTGTTTACAGTTATTAGCAAGACAAAAGTTTAATAAGTTTTGCAGTGGCTGCTAGCTGGATGCAGACATGATGGCTGTGAGAGGGATGAGCCCTGGCACAGCCTCTCCTCTGTCAGAGCGCATCCTATGGGCTGGTGCTAATGGGGCAGCAGGTCCCCTGGTACATAATCCTCTAATTAGTGCAGTGGCTCATTTTCCTCAAACCACAGCAAAATTACTGTCTTTGGATGATGTGACTATGATACCATAGGGCTGCAGAGTGACTTGTGCTGTCACAGGAACAAAAAAACCAAGAGTCACTCACCTCTTTTAGCTTTATGGATACATTGGGGCTACCAGGTCTCAGCTGCAGTTGTCAGGAGGAGTTTGAAGGAGTAGACAAGAGGCAGATACATAGTGTCATGTTGCTTCCCCTGCCAGACCCCAGCTGGGTGTACAGAGCAGAGGGAAAGGAAAGGGCATATCCTAAGAAGGTCCCGTTACTTCATTGTAAAGATGTATTTTGAAAAATACCGCTCTGCCTCTCCACGAGTGCCCCCAGGAGGGATTTTCCCTCTGAGGCTTGCTGCCACCTCTCTCTCTCCTTGTGATTGCACCTGGTGGTACAATTTAGCCCCATAATAATGCTTATCCTTTGGGAGGTAGGAGGTAAAATGGAAAATTTGCCTGACAGGGTTCTCAACCTGTCATAAAACATTACAGTGTAGAGAAACCACATGAGGAGAGGGTGTGGTACCTTCGGGAGCGCCCGGGGTTCATGCCACAGCTGTGGTCTCTCTGAGGACAGCTGTTGGCAGGGCAGGGCATTCCTTCCAAGGGGGCGGCAAATTTGGCACTTTCCACCCCATACGGGTAAGGACTCACTCAGGTCAGGCACGCTGTAGAGCTGTCTGTGTGGCAAGGGTTTCAGAAAGGGTGAGAGTATGTTTCTCATAATGATGGTGTGGACAGGAGTCTCAGGAGATACGTAGCTGGCTGGCTGTCCAGGGAAGGCAGCTTCACTGCTGCCGGGACTCTGTTACTAAAAGGATACCAGGATACCAAGCGTCTCAGTTAATCCTATTTCTTAGTATTTTTCTGTAAATATCAGTATTCAGATTACAAAAAAAAAAAAAAAAAAATTGCCCCTGTGAGAAATTCTAAGGCTTTTACGTGCGTTTTGAATCCAGATAGAAATAATGGTGTAGTTTTGCAAAATGAAGCACATCAAAATGTTTTAATTTCTTGTCTGTGTTTCAGTTTTTATGGGAGATTTCTTTATGTCATATAATTGCATAAAATTCAAGCTGATGAAATGAAAATTGAATGTTACCTCAGTTTCCTGTGAAATAAATCAAACCAGTGAATTTTCATAAAATACTGTTATTTTGTCAAATCAGCATTTTCCAAGAGCCATGAACTACTTTGGAAAATTTTCAGTCAATTCCAATGGAAGCCATATAATCAATATTGATAAGACATGTTGGTGAGTAGAACTCCATCCACCAGCATGACAGAATCTGACGTTTAACACATTAAGACAGGAGAGATCATTTTTAATAAAGCTTTGGTGTAGGTTGAAGCCACCGTCGTTACAACAGACTTCATGTGTGTCCCTGTGAAGAAGCATGTTAATGCTATGGGCATCACATAACTTCCGTAAATCCCGTCTTTCTATTTTTCTGGTATATCTATTTTTCTGAAGTATCTTGGCAGCATTTCAATTTTTCCTCAGTGATCTTTTAAATATAAACAGCATTACTGTTTTCTCATGCTTGTTAATGTTATGTTCTGATTGTTTTTTGTTTTATTTTGAAGGATAATGCTAGGAAGATAACGAAGCTGAAAACAGACTGATAAATAATAGCCACACTCAAGAAAAAAATTATCTTGAGGATTTTAGAAATCTGATTAAAACATGTCCATGAATAAGTAGATATTGCGGTTAAAATGAAATAATTTACTGTTCCAAAAGCAGTTCAATAATTCTATGTGTGCGTGCGTGTATATTCCTATTAGGGCGCAGCAGTTAGAGCTAACAGCCCACTACTCGTTCTTTTGAAATTCAAATGCATAATCATCTTTCCATTATCTAGGTCAATAGAAGGCTGGGCTACCCCGGAAAGTGGGAGAAAACAGGTAAAACAGGATTCAGTGGAGAGCTGAATGCCTGCCCCCTTGGATGGAGGCTGGTTTTGAGGGTCTGCTCTGCCCCGGGCTCCCCAGTGCTCCCGTTCGGGGCGGGGGGGACGTGTTATCCTGAGTGCAGTGCAGCATGAACGTATAACGCCAGTGAAAGCACTGAGGTCTCTGAGTCTCGAAGCTGGCGAGATGCCTCCAAAGGCCTGAAGGCATCCAGCAGAAAACGCTTCACGCAGGAATAGAGGTCCTCCGAATGTGGCCCTATGTGCTTACGTCTGCCTCCATCTGCGCTTGAAAAGATGAAGTAATCCATCTTTTTAAGAGCTTGACCTTATGCTCTTATTGCAAGATTTTGACTACCAAACAAGAATTAAATACGGGCAAAAAAAAGTTTGTTGTTGAAGAAACAGTGTTTTAGAAAAAGCAGAGGATATTCCCTCTCCTTATAGTGCCTGCTCTCTGTGTTCGATTTAAATAAACTGAAAAGCCAAGATTTTCACTGTGCTAAGTCTGAAGACAAATAGTACTATGAGTGCAGTGTTCTCTCGGTTATTTATTTCATGCCTGTTCTGAATTGTGCTGCAGATTTTTTTGTGGAGAGCCCAAAATGACTTTGCATGGGGAACGTGTGGGAAAACTGGAGTTACGCACCTTCTGCAAGGTGTGGGAAGTGGTTTCAATCACAAGCTGTGGATTCAAAATGGAGGAAGAAAGAATTACAGTGTCAAGAGAGTTTTGTCTTAAAGGGAAACATGATGAATGCTGAACAGAGGGGTCACACCCGAGGTTAGATCACAGGCACATTTCCTAGGGATCTTTTCTGAAATAAACATAAGTTCCTTGAGTCTTGCAGTCATGAGGAAAAAATAAGCTGTGGTCTTACCTCGTGTTAGGTAACACAGGGTAAAATAGCGAAAAGGCACACCGGCTGTGCTTTTTAAGATTTGGTGAATCTTCCCTTCCCTAGAGTTTTTATCTTAAGCTGCTAATTCACATGAAAAATTCAACTCCCTTGTCATCTCTAGGAAGATGGCATCCTCTCCCGTCTTTTCAGCTACTGTACGCTAGCTACCGCATGCTCTTGGAGTTGAGATTGCATAAGACTGGTTTCCACAAAGCCTTTGTTTTGAAGATGAAAGTATGTAAGGTGCCCGG